CTTCTTCATTATTTTATATATATATATATATATATATATATATATATATATTTTAAATATATATATATATATCCGTTTTTAAATAAATTAAATAATTCTTTTTCATCAAAATAAATTAATTTTATTCTAACATCAATGTCCAAAAAAGAGGTAAATTTAAAAAAAAATTTATTTAAACTTTAAACATATTATAATATTTTTTTTTTTGATTCAAAATCCTTTTTTTGATTTTTTGAAATCAAAATAAAGATGTTTATATATATATATATATATATATTTTTATTTAAAAATATTTCATGATCTTATTTTTTTTTTTTTCTTTATTTTTTTTATCTATCTATCTCTCTATCTATCTAAAAATATTTTTGACTGTCTGTCTGTCTATAAAATAATAAATGAAATGATGAAAATATACTATCTATCTAAATCTTTCTAAATCTATATATTATTTAAGTCTGAATTCCTCTTTTCTTCAACTTGGTTTTTTTTCAATTAATTGCTATCTATCTATCTGTCAATATAATCTTTTTTTAAAGAAATCCAAAAATTTTCAAAAAAAGATCTCACATTTTTTTTTTTTTTTTTTTATTTCTTTTATCTTTTTTTGCAAAAAAGTAAGAAAAACTGTTCGATTTTTTGTTGAATTTCAGTAATGTTTTTTTAAAATATTTTCATAATTATTCAAAAAATTAAATTTTTTTTTTTATTTTTTTTTTTATTTATTTATAATATGTTAAATAAATATTAAGAAAAATATAAATAATATAATTCATTACTAACTAGAATATTTTTTTTTGAAATTCTTCTTGAATTTTCCATTCTTAAAATTCATGAAAAAATATAATAAAAAGGAAAATTAGGAAATTATTTTCTAATACTCTTATCTTCAAAATGGGAGACCATGATTGCATTCTGCCTTAATTTTCTTTTATTTTCCCTTAAAAAAAATCCTTAATTTTTATTCCCTCTTAAAATTTTCTTCTTTCTCTTTTAAAAATTTATATGTTTTTCTAATTCTCTCCCTCCTTTCAAAACCCTTCCTGAATCTTTAAAGAATTTAAAGTTCCTTGATTTCACTAATATCTTTAATCCTGAAAAAATTAAATTGCCAGAAAATCCTTAATCCCATCTTATATAAGTTAAAAAAAAATTAAATAAATTTTTCAAAAATTAATAGGGATACTATGTCTGAAAAAATTTTTCAAAAAAAATACAAAATCTGTCTGAAAAATCTAATATTCATTTTATTTTTTTATTTTAAAAAGTTTATTTTACAAAAAAAAAAAATTAAAAATTATATATGTTTCATATCTGTTTATATTTATCTATTTATCTATCTATATATATATATATATATATATATATATATATATAAAATAAAATATATATATATTTATATATCTAAATGTCTGATGAAATTATGTACATATAAATTGAAATTATCTATTCTAAAAATGTTAATTTCTTTCTTTTTTTCTAAATTCAAAAATTTTATATCTTCTAAAGTATTTAAAGATATCTATCTCAGTTTTTATTTTATTTTTTTGTATCTATCTATTTTCTTGCATCTTCAATGGTTCAATTCTATCTATCTATCTATTTATCTATTATCTTCAATCCTTCATATTCTATCTATAATTTTGAATATTCAAAAATTGTTGAAATAATATGATCTATCTATTTAAATATCTTTCATATACAACGAATTCTATCTATTCTATCTTCTAAATGTTAATTTCTTGAATAAGTAAAATAAAAAATATAATTAAACAGTTTTTAAACAAATATAAAAAATATCAGTTAAATTTAAATTCTTCTTTTTACAAATTTATTATTTTAATAAAAAGTACGTTAAAAAAATTAAGTTTTATTTTAGTTATTTCTTTTAAAAAAAAAAAAAAAATGATATTGTTCTTTGTTCTATTTTTCAAAAATAAAAGAGAATATAAATTTTTGATTGAAATAATCAAAACAAAATGGCCTTTTTTTTCAAATTTTTTATCGACTTTTATTTCATAGTTTTAGCGAATTGTTTTACCTTTTCAAAATTGAATGAATTTTCTGTGATAATATATATATATATATATATATATATATATATATATATATATATATATATATATATATATATATATATATATATATAAAAAAAAATAACACAAATTATGGTTTCTAATTTTTTGATTGGAATTTAATTAAATCCAAATCATCAGACCTAAAAATTCAAAAAAAAAATCAAAAATTTACGATTCCAATGTAATAAATTATAACCATGGAATATTAGTGTTTAAGCCTTTTGATATATTATTAAAAAATTGGACAATGATATACCTGGATTCTATCCTCTTAGAAAATAATTTTTATATATAAATATATTTGAATGTTTGTATGTATATAAATTATATATTTTATATATATATATAATGTTTTATTTGTGTTTGTGTGTGTGTGTGTTGTGTGTGAAAAAAGTGTGTGTGGTTTGTAAAATTTAATCATTGATCATATATATATATATATATATATATATATATAATATATATATAATATTATATTAAATTAACTAAAAAAAACAAAAATATTGTCTATATTATTTAATTTTTGATTGTCTATATATATATATATATATATTATATATATATATCAATATGTATTTTATATATTTGTCATAACCTTATTTAAACTCACCATCCCTAAAGAAATCTTAAAAACCCAAAGTTTAAAATTTTTCTGCTTTTTAAATTTTATTAAAAAACCCCTGATTCCAAAACATGCAGTCATAATAAATATAATGAAAATGTCTTGTTATCAACTGAAATATCTTAAAAAAAATTCATACCAAATTGTGCGTGTTTGGTAAAGGTGGGGGGATATTTTTTTTTTAATTTTTTCATCATAAAAATCTTTAGTCATTTTAAAATAAAAAAAAATTGAAAATCATTAAACGAACAAATTCAAAAAATTAATAAATTATTTTAAAACATTTTTTTTTTTAATTTTGTATACATAAATTCTATAAAAATAAAAAAAAAATGTTTTATTTAATATATAAATAAAAAATGTCTTATAAAAGGTATTTAAAAACATTAAGAAAAATTTTTTAATAATGCACTGACCATTGTTTGCTCCACGTGGCATTCATTCTCTGATAAAATGAGAAAAGAAAAAATAAAAAAAGAAATCCAGTTTTAAGTTCTCTGAATATCGGCGTCTTTTTTTAATATTTCTAATTGTCAAATACTCCTTTTTAAATAATTATGCACAATTTGTAAATATAAATTTATATATATAAATTCTTATATATATATATATCCGGTATTATATATACATTTTTTTTTTTTATTTATATATACTTTATTTTATAAATGTTTTTCTGAGTTCATTTTTAATGGATATTTAAAAAGAAAAAATTTTGCAAGTTAAAACAAAAACATAAATATATAAAAATAAAAAAAAATAAAATTCTCCTTCTTATATATATAAAAAAAAAAAAAATCAAAGCTATATCTCTAATAAATCCTTTTATCTTTATCAAAAGATATATATATTTACAAAAAAAAATTTCCACATTTTTACATTCTTAAATAATTTTGAAATGTAAACTTTATTTATTTCATTTTATCAGTTGAAAAAATTTCCTATATATTCCAAAATATTATTTTCGTTACTGAAATAAAAAAAAAACATTTAATTAAAAACACACACATTTGATAAACAAGTCACACACAAAAAAGAAACCAAAAACATTTCGATAATTATAAATTTAAAAAAAAGATTCCTTAATGTTTTTATAAAAAACTACAAACAGGAATTTTGTTTTTCATTGAATGTAAGAATATAAATTAAAAAAAAGTAATTTTAAAAAAGAAAGAAAAGAAAGAAAGAAATTAAGAAAAGAAAAAAATTTAAGATTGAAAAAAAAAAATTAAAAAATGAAAAAGAAGATAAACAGAAAAAATAAAAAAATAAAAAGAAGAAATAAGAAAAAAAAAAAAAAAAGAAAGAAAAGAAAGAAAATGATGAAAAGAAAAAAAAAATACATCAAAAATATTAAAAAAGAATGGATGAAAAATATATAAAAGAAAAGAAAAAAGAAAATAAATAAATAAATAAATAAATAAATAAATAAAAAAAAAAAAAAAAAAAGAAAATTGAATAAAAAAAAAATAAATTATATATTTAAAAAATACATCAAAAAATTTAAAAAATCAAAAAAAGAAAGAAAGAAAACCGAAATCTTGAAAATATAAAGAAAGAAAGAAAGAAAAAAATATTTGAATGAAAAATAAAATTCAAAAAAAAAAAAAAAAAAAAAGAAAGAAAAAAAAGAAAAAAATCAAAAGAAAAAAAAGAAAGAATAAATGACTGGATGAAAAAATATAAAAAAAAAATAAAAAAATAAATAAATTAATAAATAAAATAAATAATAAAAGAAAGAAAAAAAAAAAGAAAGAAAAAGAAAGAAAAGAAAAAAGAAAAAAGAAAGAAAATGATTGGATGAAAAAAAAGGAAAAAATAAAAAAAGATAAACAAAAAAACAACGAACGAAAAAAAAAAAAAGAAAGAAACGAAAAGAAAAGAAAAAATGAAAGGAAAAAAAAAAGAAAGAAAAAGAAAAGAAAATAAAGAAAAGAAAAAGAAAAAAAAAAGAAAAGAAAAATGACTGAAATGAAAGAAATACATGAAAAATAAAAATTTTAAAAAAAAGAAAGAAAAGAAGAAAAGATGGTGAAAAAGAAGAAAAATACAACAAAAGAAAAAAAAGAAAGAAAAAAAACAAGGAAGAAAGAAAGAAAAAAATAAAAGAAAAGAAAAAAAAAAAAAAAAAAAAAAGAAAGAAAGAAAGAAAAAAAGAAAGAAAAAAAGAAAGGTGTAGAGGAGACAAAGCGACAAAAGGAACAAAATAGAGTATATGTAAAAAAAAAAACAAGATAAAGAGAAATAAATAGAATTAAAATGATAGAAAAACAATTCGAAAGAAATGGAGAAAGAATTTTAAATATCTAAATGAAATTAAAACGAAAAACAGAAAGATAATTGAAAAAGAAAGAAAATTTCAAAGAAAGAAAAATAATTAAATTCAAAGAATGAAGTAAAAAAAAAGAAATTGTATATGTCAAGAAAGAAAGGGAATTAGAAAGAGAGAAAAGAAGAACTAAAAGGAAAGAAAAAAGAAAGATAAAAAACAAAAAAAGAAGTAAAAAAAAACAAAGTTTATATGGACGGAAAGGTAGAAAGAGAATTAAAAAAGAAAGAAAAAACGAACAAGAGAGAGAAAACTATAAAAGAAAAGAAACAGAAATGGAAATTAAAAAAAAAAAAGATAAAAGTATAAAGCAGTAACAATGAATGAAGGATGTAAAAAAGAAAGAAAGAAAGAAAGAAAGAAAGAAAGAGAGGAAGGAAGAAAGAAAGAAAAAGTTTGAAAAAGAAAGATAATTAAAAAGTATAAAAGCGGTAACAATGAAAGTGTATATCTGAAAAAGAAAAAAGAAAGAACTGTGTGCCAATAAGGCATGAAAGAAAGAAAGAAAGAAAGAAAGAAAGAAAGAAAGAAAAAAAAGAAAGAAAAAGTAAAATAAAAAGAAAAGGAAGGAAGGAAGAAAAATTGAGATGAAACTTTAATAAGAAAGAAAGAAAGAAAGAAAGAAAGAAAGAAAATGACTGAATGAAGAAATACATGAAAAATATAAAGAAGACAAAGAAAGAAAGAAAAAAAGAAAGAAAGAAAGAAAGAAAGAAAGAAAAAAAAAAGATGATGACTGGAAGAAAAATACAACAAAAATAGAAAAGAAAAAAAAGACTGGATGAAAAATATATAAAAAAACAGAAAGAAAGATAAATAAATAAATAAATAAATAAAACTCAAAAAACCTAAAAGAAAGAAAGAAAGAAATGAACTGGTACAAATAAGGCATGAAAGAAAGAAATGAAAAATAGAAAAGAAAAGAAAGAAATTTTTTAAAGAATGAAAACAATTAATTGGGATAAAGCTTGAGGAAGGAAGGAAGGAATTCAGGAAGGAAGGAAGGAAGGAAGGAAGGAAGAAGGAAGGAAGGAATTTCAGGAAGGAAAAATTGAGATGAAACTTTAATTCAAAAAGAAAAAATTAAATATTTTAAGAAAAAAAAAAATGACTGAATGAATAAAAACATAAAAATATAAAAGAAGACAAAAAAATAAGAAAATAAAAGAAAAGAAAGAAAAAGAAAAAAAAGAAAATAAAGAAAGAAAAATGAAATAATGAAGAAAATACAAAAAATAAAAGAAAATTCCAAAAAAGAAAAGAAAGAAAGAAAATAAATAAAAATAATGACTGGAAGAAAAATACAACAAAAATATATTTAAGAAAAGAAAGACTGGATGAAAATATATATAAAACAGAAAGAGGATAAATAAATAAATAAATAAATAAAGAAAAGAAAGAAAGAAAGAAAGAAAGAAAGAAAGAAAGAAAGAACTGTGTGCCAATAAGGCATGAAAGAAAGAAAGAAAGAAAGAAAGAAAGAAAGGAAGGAAGAAAGAAAGAAAGGGTAATTGGGATAAAGCTTGAGGAAGGAAGGAAGGAAGGAAGGAAGGAAGGAAGGGAGCGTAATTGAGATGAAACTTTAATAAGAAAGAAAAACAGAAAGAAAGAAAGAAAGAAAGAAAGAAAGAAAGAAAGAAAGAAAGAAAGAAAGATGATGACTGGAAGAAAAATACAACAAAAATAGAAAGAAAGAAAGACTGGATGAAAAATATATAAAAAACAGAAAGAGGATAAATAAATAAATAAATAAAGAAAGAAAAAAAATAAAAAAAAAAGAAAGAAAGAAAGAAAAAACTGTGTGCCAATAAATCATGAAAGAAAAAAAATAAAGAAAGAAAATAAAATAAGAAAAAAATAAAAAAAGAAAAGAAAAAAAGAAAAAAAAATGACTGAATGAAGAAAAACATAAAAAATATAAAATTTTAAAAAAAGAAAAATTTAAAAGAAAGAAAGTATTAAAAAGAAAGAACTGTGTTCCAATAAGGCATGAAAGAAAGAAAGAAAGAAAGAAAGAAAGAAAGAAAGAAAGATTGAAAGACTGTAAGTTAAGAAGTATTAATAAAAAACAACAATAAAACGAGAATAAGAAGAATGAAAAATGAAAGAAAGAAAGAAAGAAAGATTGAAAGACTGTAAGTTAAGAAGTATTAATAAAAAACAACAATAAAACGAGAATAAGAAGAATGAAAAATGAAAGAAAAAGTGTAGGAAAAGAAAGAAATGAAGGCATGAAAGAAAGAATTAAGAATGAAAGGAGGGAAGGAAGGATGGAAGCAAAGAAGGAAGACAGAAAGAATGGATGAAAAATATAGAGAAATAATGGAAAGTCAGGTTTAAAATGTTTCAATGAACTGAAAAACAACGCGATGGAAAAAATGAATGAAACAGACGATAATATAACTAAATTGTAAAATACGAAGAAAAAACGATTTCAGGATCTGTAATTTTGTTCCAAGTTTCTCCGTTCTCAGTAATATTTAAAAGAACTTTTATATTTCCACGTCTCCTGCAGGAATTTGATCTTTGAACCCCGCCCAAGTATTAAACTATAACAGAATATATTTAAGTATTTCTTTGACTCAGGCAATTTTATCACAAAACCAAATGTGTGGAAACAAAGAATGGCGCGATAGGAAAATTCCGTACGAATTAAAGAAAAGAGTTTTGAACATCTATGTTATATATATTCCCCATTTAGCAGAGAATGCTGGACATTTTTCTAACAGATGAAGAACAGCCTCGATGCGACGGAGATGTGGATGGATCTACGGACCGATGATGAGAATGCCATGGACAGGGTATTTAGTAAATAAGGAAGTTTTAAGGAAAATACAAACTAAAAGGTTACTTATACTAAAAGTAAGAAAAAAGATTGTTGAAATTTTTGAAAGAGGGCTTGGCGAAATTGTCACTCACAAGTTATACAGGTGGCAGGGGCGACATCCAAACATTTTCGTCTAGCCAATGTCACTCGCAAGTCTTGGGTCAGTTCGCAGTACAGTTTTCAGGTATTGCACAACGATGTTGCCCGCTGGGAACGATTGCCCATGCCATATTATCAAGAAGTCAGCTCCTTCACAAACTGACCGTGGTGAGATCCGAACACAAGTTCCATGCTCCGGAGATTCAAGTTCTAACCATTCGGCTACGCAGCCACATTATAGTTGATAATATTATGCAGTTATTCTAGGTATAAACACGTTTAGTCTGCCGTGTTGGCCCAAGCATGAGTCGATCAGATACGTCATCTTCTCCTATAAGAGCCGGTAGCTTTTTTTTTTTTTTTTTTTTTGAATAAAAGCCATTTTGAACGAAAGGAAGATTTTATATATCATTAAATACGATATCTTGAAATTGATTTAAGTTTCGCAATTGAAAGCGCACTAATTAACAGGAAGATATCTAAAAAAAAGAAAACATTTAAAAGATGCCTTTTTTATCATTTCACTTCAAGCAAGGCAATAATGCCACTAACACGCAAGGGGAGGTACCGAATGTTAGAGAATATGAGAAAAAACATTAAGGAAAAGGAACAATAAAAGGACAGCAATTAAGAAGACAGAAGATAATGATTGAAATTGCATTTCAATTTTTGAATATCAAAGTTGACCGGAAAGCAAGAAGCCGGAAGAGAGTTCCACAAGCGAGTAGTGCGAGAGAAGAAACTGTTAGCATAGAACTTACGGTTGCATCTAGCCAGATCAGTTGTAAAATGATGAGACCTTGCTGCCAATCTAGTACTGCGCTTAAATTCATAAAATCTAGGTACCATAGAGGAAAGTAATTTTTATTTTGAAAGTACAAAAATGTGGCACAAGGCCAAAAGGAGAGATGGGGGGATGATCTTTAATCTGTCTTATAATTAAACTTAGCTACCCACGATTACTGACCCAAATACCTCAATATTCCTAACACCATGGTTATGGTTTGGGCAACTATTTCAGAAAGAGGAAAGTCTTAAGTTTTCATGCCTCAAGGAGTAAAAATCAACAAGGAAATGTACATAGAGGATATCTTGGTAGGTGTACTCAAGCCATGGTGCAATGCCACTTATGATGATGAACATTGACGGAACGATGAGCCATATTGCTCATGTAACACAGCAATAGTGCAGAGACGATTGTACTGCCTTCATCACCAAATATGAATGGCCTCCCTCATTCCCTAGATATCAACACTCTTGACTATTGTTTGTGGGCAGTTCATGAGAGTGAGGCCTGTTCTACTCTGAATCACAATATTGAAGCTCTGAAGAGAAAATTGAAGAAAGTATTGGATAAAATAGCCATGGAAACTGTGCATGTCTCCATCAATGACTTTTTCTGAAAGACCTCGACATGTGGTGAAGGCTGAAGTGAACCATGTTGAATTATATTTTCTGGTGTTATTCAGAAGATAAATGCTTACTTTGTGTTAGAATTGTACGCTGATTTAATATATCTTCAGGAACTTTTTTCTTTTGCAACAGTATTCATGCCACGCCTTGGTCTACGAAACTAATGAAGCTTAAAATTCAGGGCAGTAATCCCAGAGGGTCCACTGAAGCAATTTTATTTTAATGAGTGAATTTTTCAACGGAATCGCTGTTTTTTAGCGTTTATTATTTCAGTGATAAAATGATAAGCCAGTGGGTTGAAGTAGGTAATGTTGGCCCCAAAATATACTCTGTTACCCATTTCATATCTGTCTATATTTCTGGAAAAAAAAATCAGGCGTGGCTGACCACATGTGGAGAGAAAATGGAAATCACCGCCCTCTGAGGGATCAGGTTGAAATCATAGACATAGAACATCACTGGAAAATTCGTAAACTTAAGGAATCAGCACATATGCTAGGCCACAAAAATCTCCTGAGCCGACTAAGCATAGAAATGAATACAATGAATACAATATGGGAACCAGTAATAAGGAGTGCCAGAGAAAAGCAATAATAACAACGAAAATTGCAATATGAGCTCTGGTAAAAAAAAAAAAAAAATAACAGCAAAAATTGCAATATGAGCACTGGTGAAAAATGAATGCTGAAAACAAATGGTTGCTGAAGACATTAGGTTTATAGTACCCAGAAATTCATACACAGATGTCTTCAAGGACACATTGCACAGTGGATAAAGGCGTTGATTAGATCCAGTGAGAGGACCCAAAAGATTGTGAGTTCAATACCCGGTTAAGGCGGTGGAGAACTTGGAGAGAGGAATTAACAGGAGATAACTGATAACTGACATCCATTAAACATGGCACATGAAACTAGAACAGTCTACCCGGTTCGACATTCCAACCACATAAAGAAGGCCGGAGCGTACAACGGCCGAAACGTTGTGATAAATATGGCAACAAAGATGAGGATGACAGTCCGAACAATGTAAATAGAATACCCATTTCGTATGACTTAAAAATTCTCCTGTAATTGGTCAAATCTTGGTTTGGTTTATGGCATATCAACCTCAATGGATTATTTAATGCCGATAATTTTTATTGCTGGTAATATTTTTTTTTCTCTAAAAATTCCTTGCTGGTAATAATTCTTTATAAAAATTTTATTTTATAAATCATTTTTTATAAAAAATATTTCTGGTATTAAAACCTATTTTTACACTTTCATAGTGTTTTGACCCCAGTTTGGGGGTTAACTATTTGCCCATAGCTGACAGGTACTACCACCCCTGACCCGGGGTGGTAGCATCTGTTAGATTTGACCTGGGAATACCAGCAATTAAAAGGTGGCTCCACGCTTCTAAAAACCTCCTGATCAGAAGCCTAGCTGCCAGACGTAGTTTATCGTCTTACTCAGGACGCGGTCAAATTTTAAAATTTAAGTTACTCCCGCCGTTTTACCCGCGCTTGGTTGAATTTCTTCACTTTGACATTCAGAGCACTGGACAGAAATCACATCGTGTCTGTACGGGTCGACCGGCCACACGATGCTTTGTTTTAATTAGACAGTCGGATTCCCCCGGTCCGTACCAGTTCCGAGTCGACCGTTCGCTCCGTAACTATGACTCTCTTAAGGTAGCCAAATGCCTCGTCCGCTAAGTAGTGACGCGCATGAACGGATCAACGAGATTCCCACTGTCCCTACCTACTATCTAGCGAAACCACAGCCAAGGGAACGGGCTTGGAACGATCGGCGGGGAAAGAAGACCCTGTTGAGCTTGACTCTAGTTCGACTCTGTGAGGCGACACGGGAGGTGTAAGCATTGGCGGGAGACACGCCTTTTGCAGCGTCCGAACCCCCCACTGTATGGACTTGTTGGTCTTGCCACAATCTATGCATAGCCTACATTTCGGGTGTTGGATCCTCCAATTTATTTGTTGCTTGTTGTGAAGGGGGCCCCATGTCTGTTCACGTTTCAGGGCCCCCAAAAATGTAGATACGCCACTGCGCAGACTTCAAGGGGCACTCATGTATACGAAAAATGGTTGGCACCTTGTACCGCTTCAGAAATTACCCCTTACTATGATTTATCTTTTACACGAGTCGGATAAGCTAACGACCACATCACGTTGAAACACCGGCTCCCGTACGATCAGCAAAGTTAAGCAACGTCGAGACTAGTCAGTAACTAAATGGGTGACCGCTTGGTGCTGTAAGCTTGGATGTGCAGGTGGTGTAATGTGCTTACGGCCATATCACGTTGAAACACCGATTTTCGTACAATCACTGAAGTTAAGCAACGTCGACCATAGTCAGTAACTAGATGGGTGACTACTTGGGAATACCAATGGTTGTATGCTTGGATGTTTGGATGGTGTAATGTGCTTACGGACAAATCACGTTGAAACACAGATTCTCGTACGATCACCGAAGTTAAGCAACGTCAACTTTAGTCAGTAACTAGATGGGTGACTACTTGGGAATACCAAGTACTGTATGCGCGGATGTGTGGGTTGGTTCATTTGTACGATTTATATCACTAAACCACTATTATCTAAAAAAAAAAAATTCTTGCAATCCAAAAATATTTTCTGGCTTTAAATAACAAACAATGGGCCGATAAGCCATAGAAGATGAATCAAACAAACAATAAAATACTGATTAGCTGCATATTTTTACATTTTCTGGAATATAAATGTATAGAAACTAATGTGGCCACAAAGTGAGAGATCAGTTTATTTATTTATTGTAATATATAATTGATCCCCCACTTTATATCAACATTATCACTTTTTGTTTGTTTATCAAATTCTGATTATGTATTAATCCACCTCGTCTCCCACCAACTATGGATTAATTAATGAGACTTCTATCACTAAATCCTTATCTCAAAAATATTCGTAAAATCTAAAAATATATTCTGGCTTTAAATAACCGGAAAAGTGTCGATAAACCGTAAATAAACGAATTAATCCATCAATCTAACAAAAAATGGAATATCATTTTTTTTTTTTTTACAAAAAAATGTATTGCTGGTAATAATTTTTTTTTTTACAAAAATGTATTGCAGATATTTTTTTTTAACAAAAATGGTAATATTTTTATAATGAAAATGTATTTCTGGAATTTTAAGAATAAAAATGTATTCTTATACTTTCATAATGTTTTGACTCCAGTTTGGGAGTTAGCTTTTTGTCTGTAGCTGGGAAGCCAACAGGTGTTAAGCTTATGTTATACTAGAACATACCTATTCTATTGTAAATAGACTCTCCCACATATAATAAGTAGTAGTAGTAGCAGTCGCCAGGGGGATCAGTGATTTGATGAGTCAGTCGATGTCGGACATTAAAGTATCAACCACCACAACTAGATTGCTGCGTCATTAACTATTATTTCAAGTTCCTAATGTTTTGTACGTCGAACCATTTTTAGGGCCGACTGGGTGAAATACAAGCCTCCACTGGGAAAAAAAAACTCTACAACAGCTTACTGGATACTTAAAAATTATATAAAAAGGCGCTCATGTTATATTCTTCAAGCAGTTTTTACAGATATGTCCACCGTAGAAAAACATTCGATAAAGTTCCGTCTGTCATTGAAGCTGTCAACTGGTCAACACCTAACATAAACAGCTACCGGAGTATTAAAAACGTATTTCTACGATATTTTAAAGTTTTTAATAGTTGTTTCAAATCATATTAATTATATTTTAAATCAGTTAATATTTCTCAAATAAAGTTTCAGAAAAGTATATTTTATTCTTGCAAGATTGTTTAAAGTATTTTGCTTATTGGAAATATTAAATTTAATTTATTAGTTTGAAATTAAATCTAAAATAAAAGCTTCAAGAAAGATTTTTTTATTTTAAAAATTTCATTTGTTATCAACCTTTGTTATCGTAAAGTCTGTGGTGGTACCTAATTAAGGAGTATTAGGGTGCTTCTAATTGGAGCAGGCCTTTTAAATTCGATTGGACCGCCTCCCCATTTAGAATTTGATGTATCTTATATATATATATATATATATATATATATATATATATATATATATATAAATAATATGATTGGTGTATACGGAATAAATTCCTATACCCAACAATTACTATTCTTAAAAGAGTGTTCAATACAGAGGAGAGTTCTATATAATAATTTTTTTTTAAAATTATAGCATAAATATGCTATAACAGAGGTGTTTTAAAAAAATGGCTATTTTGTAGTGATTTTATAAATATTTATGTTATAATTTTAAATAAATAATTATATATATATATATATATATATATATATATATATATATATATATTTGATGTAGGTTTTTAGTTTTTGTATAATTTTGTCTATTTTCTCAACGTTTGTTCAAAATCCCACTTCATTGAATACAGACACGTAAGGAGTATAAAATTGCTAAATATTGTACAATATCGGATACGTAGGAGCGAACATAGGTAATGAAGGGGTCCCCAAATTCTGTTGGCCCAGGTGCTTCTTTAGTCCTCAATCCGACCCTGACGACAATCTAAATTTCGTTAAATATAGAGTCAGTCCTTATCTATCTTGCATATCTACACTTTCTACTTCTCATACGTTGATATAACACCCTCTACTTTAAGTGGCTCTTGGGTCTTTTGCTGTGTGAATATTAGTAAAACAATATATTGTTTAAACGAAGTCTGAAATTAGATTTAAACACTGCGTTGTCAAAAGAACGAGAAGGCAGAATTTGTGGTTTCAATAACAGTTAAAATAATTATTTTTAACAAATATTATAAAAATCTTCATCTATCTTCCATATATTCACTTCCTACTTCTCATACGTTTATGTCACCCATATCTTATCCAATAACCCTCTACCTTAAGCGGCTCTTGAGTCTTTTGCTGTGTGAATATTAGTAAAACAATATATTGTGAAAACGAAGTTTGAAATTAGATTTAAACACCGCATGGACAAAAGAACAAGTTTCAATAATAGTTAAAATAATTATTTTTAACAAATGTTACAAAATCTTCGAGACAAACAGACTCGACTCTTACTCTACTGGTGGACAGTGTTTTTTATATAAAGGTTAGTTGAATCAGGATAAGCTGTTTTTTGTTGTTGTTGTTGTTTTTTTTGTTTTTCTTTGTTTTTTGGGGGTTTTTTTTAGAGTCGTTCTAATTGGTCCATAAATCTCTGGAAGATGTTTGATTTCAAACTAGAGCACCTTATCCGGATTTTATCGGCTGAGTTCGAAGCTTTGTGAGCACTGCTAAAAAAAAATGATGCTGAAGGCATTAGGTTTATAATACCCAGAAATTCATATACACAGATGTCCTCAAGAAAACATGGCACAAGGCGTTAGTTAGATCCAGTAACAGGACCTAAAAGAGTGTGAGTTCAATACCTGGTTAAGGCGGTGGAGAACTTGGAGAGGGGAAATAACAAGAGATAACTGATAACTGGCAGCCATTAAACATAGAACTAGAACAGTCTACTTCAGTGTGTTCAGTTCAAAATCACTTATCCGGGTTTTATCGGCTGAGTTCGAAGCTTTTTTGGGGGGTGAAGTGGATCCAGTCGATTTTTTTTCTTCAGTAACAAATCATTTACAGCACGAAAGCCACATTCAGCTGAATATGAAGATGGAAATGGTAACAACAAATGGTGGTTGAATTTTTATGTATGCATCCTCTAAATGCATTGTGTGTATTAACATGCATTAACATGAAAACTTCCACTCAGACTCAATAGAAAACAATTCACTGTTAATAACTCATTCTCAAACAGTCCCCTTATTCTCTTTGTATAGTAAGCCGAAGGGTGCACATCCTATGCAGCAGTATAGGATATTCAGTTGTCCATCTTTGTTTATATTAAAAACCTAAACATCTGAGTTCCAAACAACAATAAAATAAAAATAAAGAAAACATGGCTATGCCTGTTAAATAAATCATTTGTATTTACGAACATGTCGCCTCCCTCTGTCTGTTCTACAAATACTTTCATGGAAATTGCTCCCAGGAGCTGCATTCGCTGGTTCCCAGACCTCATGAGTTCCAGCGCCCTACGAGGCTGGCATCCCGCTCTCACCCCTTCACTGTCGAAACTCCTAAATGTAGCCACCTCTTCTACTCCAATAGCTTCATGTCTCGCACCTCTCGCCTGTGGAACTCCCTTCCCTTCTCCTGTTTCCCTGTGAGCTATAATCTCCAGCTATTCAAGTGTAATGTCAATCGACATCTCCAGTTGCCTTGATCTATCCACTACCCTCATCCTTTCTTCTATCACTCCTATCTGATCTTGCTCTAAATTTTCTGTAACCCCTTGCGTCCTAGTGGCTTCCCGCCTTGCTCGAGGTGAAATGCTTAAAAAAAATGTACATGAATTTAAGAGTTAAAAGGAAGTAAAAATAGTCTTTAGTTGAGTTAGTCTTTGAGTAGTTTGTATACAGAAAAATCTGGAGTTTAGAAAAACTTTCTAATTGTTGACCCACAGAAAAAAACGGCGTGGTTGAGGAAAGACTTTGATCATCAGTGAAGATTCACTATCCTTGTCATTGTAGCTGATTCGTTTGAAGTAACCAACATGTTTCTTTCAGCACGCACTTAGGGAAAAGAAAGAAAACTATGTAGCTAAGTCTGTAATATACTTTGATCATTTTAATCCTGAAATAATAACGCAAAATGAAATTTGAGCTCATTACAAAATGACTGTTAGTGAGATCCTTGTGTGTCATGTCTGCTACAGATAGATTTTGTATTTAGTCAGCTTAAGCCTCAACTCTCCTCGTTTAGTGATATCCAGTCGATTGCTTTTCTTCAATAACAAATCATTTACAGCACTAAAGCCACATTCAGCTGAATATGAAGATGGAAATGGTAACAACAAATGTCTTGCAACGGTGGCTGAATTTTTATGTATGCATTTTTATGTATGCATCCTGTATATGCATCGTATGTATTAAGACGTATTAACATTAACACTTTCACTCAGACTCACTAGAAAACAACTCACTGTTAATAACTCGAATTGCCCCCTTATTCTGTTGGTAGAGGTTAGCCGAAGGGTATATTTTACCTTGTGCTACAAAAAATCATTTTTTGTTACCGTTGGGGCATTCGCTGGATCTAACCATAGTACCCTTTGCCCTGAGATGACGCAGGTTCGAATCCTGCTGGAGAGCTCAAATTTTTCTTTAATAAGATTTCTGGAACATTCAGACAAAAATAAATAAATATACAGTAATACTGTTATATATTTTTATATAAACAAACGGGGCGTCTACACAAATGCGAGTCAACGCTAAAAAAAAAATAACGTTTAATTAATGCGATAAAATATGACCTAAATTCAGTAAAGCGTTTTAGATAATGAAATCGGAA